AGTGCAGGAATCCAAACAAAAAATTCACTAGAGCAACTCAAGAATAGATTTGAGTCAACAGAAGAATTGGCAAACTGGAAGATAGATCAAAAGAGATTATTTACAGTCTGAATAGAAGAAAGAAAATGAATAAAGGTAAATAAACAGAGTGACAGAGAAATGTGAGGCACTGTTAAGTGTCTAACATATGTAAGATGGGAGTACTGGGAAGAAAGGAGACAGAAGGGGGCAGAAAAAATATTCAAAGCATTAATGACTGAAAATTCCCCAATTTAATGAAAAACATGAATCTACACAGCAAAGAAGCTGAATGAACTCTAAATAGGATAAATTCAAAGAGATATACATCCAGACCCATTTAAATAAAACTGTTGGAAGCCAAAGATAAAGAAGAAATCTTGAAAGCAGCAAGAGGAAAATGACTTGTCACGTACTGGGGTGCTGCCGTGAGATTAACAGTTGATGTCTCTTCAGAACAGTGGAGGCCAGCGGCAGCAAGACTGCATTCCATGTGCTGGAACACAAGGAGTGTCAGCCATGATCCCTCCATCTGACAGTGCTGTCTTTTAAAAGTCAGGGTCAAATAAAGACATTCCCAGGTAAACTCAAACAGAGTTCATGGCTAGGATACCTGCCTAGTAGTTATAAGAACTACTCACTGCTTTTATCCTTCATGCTGAAAGGAAGTGACAGCAGACAGTAATTTGAATCTATGTGAAAAAACAAAGTGCTCCAGTAAAGGTAATTATGTAGGTAATGATAACAGACAACATAATTACCCATTTCTTTTTCTTTTTTTCTTAGCTGATTTAAAGCACAATTGCATAAAACAATATCTATAAAATTCTATTGTTGGGCCTATAAGAATATAGAATTGTGATATATTTGACAATAAACCACAAATGAATGAAGCTATATTGGAGAAAGGAAATGACACCAGATGGTATCTTGAATCTGCAAGAAGAAATGAAGAGAGACAGAAATGGTAAATAATAAACTTAAAAAAAACAAACAAACTCAAATATATTTGAGCTCTCCTTCTCTTTTCTTCTTAACAAGACATGTTTTTTAAAATTTTTTCTTTGAAGACTTAATTAATTCATTTATTTTTGAGAGAGAGAGAGAGTGGGAGGAGAAGAGGGAGAAAGAGAATCTCAGGCAGACTGGACTGAACTTCACGATCCTGAGATCATGACCTGAGCTGAAATCAGGGGTTGGATGCTTAAACCAACTGGGCCACCCAGGTGCCCCCAGAAGACATATGTTTTAAAAAAGCAATCATGGGACGCCTGGGTGGCTCAGTTGGTTAAGCGGCTGCCTTCAGCTCAGGTCATGATCCCAGCATCCTGGGATCGAGTACCGCATCGGCCTCCTTGCTCAGCAGGGAACCTGCTTCTCCCTCTGCCTCTGCCTGCCTCTCGGCCTACTTGTGATCTCTCTCTCTCTCTCTGACAAATAAATAAATAAAATCTTAAAAAAAAATTAAAAAAAAAAATAAAAAAGCAATCATTATAACACAGTATTGTTGAGTTTGTAACATTTATAGACATAATGTGGATAAGAATAACAAAATAAGGAGGAAGGGATGAGAGCTATATAAATAAAGTTTCTGTATCTTACAGGAATTGAGTGAGTATAAATATGAAGTATATTTTGATAAGATGTATATTATAAGACCTAGAGCAACCACTAAGAAAGTAGCTAAAAAATATAGTAAAGAATCATTAAAGGAATGGAATTAGTATGCTAGGAAATATTCATTTAAGATGAAAGGAGATATTAAATAAGGAAAGAGGAACAAAATAGGGGAACTGTGTGAGTACCATTATGCGGGCATCCCGTGATACGATCTTTCAAGTCCAACAGGTTTCAGATTCTATAACTTTCCTTATTCAGATTCATTTTCTCCCTCAAAGTATTACTCTATTCATGGTGCTCCTTATGTTTGAAATTTTTTAAGTAAATTAATAAGAATCCTGGAATGAATTTTTTTCAGCTGATTCTTATATTAAATTTTCTGCTTCATCACACTCCCCTTAAAAAATACTAGGTTGATCATAGAACATACTCATGGAAATGCTCGCAAAGGTACACATCGAGATGCACACTTTTTTGTACCACTAGCTGTTTAACTACATACTCATATGAAACTTATTCTCTGATACTACCAATATTGACCTAAAGATGCATTTATTTATACATGTGCTCTGGCACTAGACATATCCAGAGGGATAAAAGTGACCATTACTTTTGGATTGTATTTAAGTTGAATACATCCTAACAACCATTTCATGGCTCACTGAATAATCTCTTTTAAAAAGGAGTGTGCATATGTGTGGGTGTGTGTAGTAGAAGGTACATAGTAATAATGATAGTGTTCATAATTATGCCAACATAAAGCATTATGGATATTCATATAACATATAAATATAACATATTTAGAAATGTATTATCTATATTCATATAATTTTCTATGTTCGTAAATAATGTATCGTTTTAAATAGTAACATGTATGTGTCACGCACACACATGAACACCACACTCTACCATGAGAGTGCTTAGAAACATGGGTTTCTCCTGGCGTAGCCCTCTGACAATTTGGCAGAATGGTTAAGGATATAGCCACAAGAATCAGCCTGTCAGTGTCCAACTCCCAGCTCTACCACTTGTTAGCTGTGTGACCTGGTATCCTACAAAATCTAATACTGATACTGTCTTCTTTGTGGTGTTCTTGTAAGCATCCAATGTCTTAATGCATGTAAAGTTCTAGAAAGCACTAGGCAAACAGGAAGTGCTCAATAAATTTTAGCTCTCATTTTTAATCTTCTTTGACTCTGTTCTTCCAGGAGATAGTTTCTTTCACATCTGGAGCATGTGTTAAATTGAGATTATGTTTCCCATCTAAGAATACATCTTCATAATATGTCTTTTATTGTGATAGTGTCTGCAACTGTTACACCTTTATTTGTGATCTTTTTAGAGTTTGCAGATGGTAATGTATGGCAATGATCATGTCTTGGGTATTACCCAGGTGATGGTTGCTTCTCAGGAATGAGCAGGTGTATTTATATTGGCTTTTCATGACCTTTTGTGTGTTGTGTAAATAGGGCGGTGATATGATGATGACATAGACTATCTTGAATACCTTCCATGTGGTTGGCCTGGTCTTCCCATTCTGATTTCTTTCATACATGAGAGCAGAAAATGTTTGTCTCTTTTGTGCACTGTTATAGGCACAACACCAAAAAGAGTGCCTGGTGCACAATATCAGAAATGAATGCTTCATGGTATGGCTCGATCTAAAACCATTCACTTACGTCCCAGTATCTACCCAAGTCCATTGATTTTATTGTAATCTCAAAAACTGTTGTTTAAGTACTTATCAAATTATGCTTAGTGCTTCTGTTAAACTGAATAGCTTGTTTTTGTCTGAATATTCCTTTTCTTGACGAATCTGATACCATCACCTCTTTCATTTCAAACTAAGAGCATCTTGAACTCTACCCCCACTTCTCTACTCACTTGCCGCACTCTCTCTCCTCTGAGTGCCCCTGGCTTTACTGATGTATATATTTCCTGGGTCATTTAACCATTTTCTTTTAAATTTTTAATTTTTTTATAAACATATAGTGTATTATTAGCCCCAAGGGTACAGGTCTGTGAATCGCCAGGTGTACACACTTCATAGCACTCACCATAGCATATACCCTCCCCAGTGTCCATAACCCAACCACCTTCTCCCGACCCCCCGCCCCCTGGCAACCCTCAGTTTGTTAGATTAAGAGTCTCTTATGATTTGTCTCCCTCCCAATCCCATCTTGTTTCATTTATTCTTTTCCTACCCCCTCATTTAACCATTTTTATATTCTAGTATGGTTACTTGCCCATGCCATGTCCCCCTTCAGAGCAAGGACCTTTTCTGTTTCACTTTTAAACCCTCCATAGTACATGTAGGTAGGTAGTGACTATTTGGCAACAGCAAATATTTGATGAGGGCCTACTCGGGGCCAGATACGGAGCCCCGTGGCAGGTTGGTGTCATAGGCATTTAAGTGATTTTCTCTTCCTGTGTTCTCTAAAATTATTTGCTAATTGAACAATTGAACATAATCACATTTTGAGCAGCATGGTGGTGTAAACAGTCCTTAGCTTTGTACTGGACATACTGGCTTAAAATCCAGGATGTCTGACTTCGAGACATCAACACCTGCCTCCAGGAGCCTTGGTTTTCTGTTTGAAGTAGGAATAGTAGATCCACATTGTAGCACGAAGTGAGTTAACACAATGGGGTGGCGTGGGGGCACTCCTGGCCAAAGTGATTGGGCTAGAGAAGGCATCAAACAAAAGCAAGTTTCTTCCTTCCTCAGAGAAGCACTATTTGAATAAAAGCAGAATTACTGGGGTATCATCTTTTTGTGTTGGTGGTTCTAGCTCTGTTTCTGTAGATCCTCTTTGAATGACTCAAACAAACTCATACAGTGCCTGGTCACTTAGGGCTGTGTGGGGACCAGGCCAGGCTGCTGCTCTTTCCTCCTTCTAGAAGTTCTGACAAATGTCTGCTGTGGTGGTTCTAGATTCCTGCTTTCCTCCTGTTCTTCATGAAATACTTTCAGGAGGCTAAGTTTTGTTTCATGCATTTTTTGTTTTGTCTATGGCACATGGAATGAAATAATTACTATTTGTGGGGAGTACTTTCATGTTTATGAAACATCTTCACATCCGTTATTTCATTTGGCACACTTGATAAGTCTATGAGGATGGTGGGGCAGGGACCTGTGCCATTGTATGCCTTGTAAAGGCAAACAAGGAAATAGGCCCTCAGAATTTCAGTGGTCTTCCCAAGGTCCCATAGCTTGAAAGTGGTGGCACTGGTGGCACTATCCAACATGAATCACCTGGCTACAAATTTCATGCCGTCTCTACCCTACCGTCCTCACCCTGGAAGTCAAGGGAACCTCTGATATCCTTCATCCTGACAATCTCTTCCGTTCTTCTTTGCAGAGGCATCTATCCTGAGCTACGATGGCAGCATGTACATGAAGATCATCATGCCCATGGTCATGCACACCGAGGCAGAAGATGTCTCCTTCCGCTTCATGTCCCAGCGAGCTTATGGGCTGCTGGTGGCTACTACCTCCAGGGACTCTGCGGACACCCTGCGTTTGGAGCTGGATGGGGGGCGTGTCAAGCTCATGGTTAACTTAGGTATCGTATGAAGTACCCTCCGCCACTTTGTTTGGGCTTGTCCTCCCTTTCTTTTCTGATTTTCATTGGTTTGATTGAACTCTTTGTTTGTTTCTTAAAAGTTAGCTGCTCACCTCTTGTTTAATAGACCAAGGATAAAACCCAACGGCAACAAACACCTTCTTGTTTCTGCATGAGGTTTTGATGTCAATTTCTGGTTTCTGACAGTGGTGGTTTTTTGTTTTTGATTTTGTTTTTGGTTTTGGTTTTTTTTTTTTTTTCCTAGATTATTTATTTTTTAAGTTTCCTTTCCTGGTTTTTTGAAACCGTTTAGCTTTGTGTAAAACACGCTACTTTGGTCCATCTTTTGATCAATCACATTGCCATTCAGTCCAACTCCTTGGTCACCACTCAAAACAGTCAAAGCTCAGGGCAGAGATAAGACAACAAATGGAGGCAAAATGGGATATTGGGGTTGGAGAGAACTAAGCTTTGTGAGGAGGATGAAAGGTGCATTGTTTCTTTCTCCACAAACGGGGAATTCTGGGGGCACTGCTATTGCCTTATGCTTTCTCCTAGCGGGGAGGACGAGTCAGATTGTTACTGTTGTCCTATTGGAGAAATAATTCTGTAAGTTTATAGAGTCTCTGACATGTGGAAGGAGAATGTGGTTCCTGATATGATCCCCTTCTTCCTTCCTGACATTCTTCCCCGTCATCTAGCATCCCCTTTTATCCAGATTGCCATGTCGCACTGTCACTCACCTGTTCCTCTGTCCTTGGTACTGAAAAATTATGACAATTTCAAATTCGCAGCTTTATTGGGAGAAGATCTGTTCTTCTGCTATAATTACCTGTAATAGATACTTTGGAAACTCCCCTCCTGGTGGCATCACATTTGCTCCTGCTGCTGACCTTGACTGATTTCTAACTGATCTTCTTTGAAGGATGGGAACCTCTTGATTTCTGGAAGGAAAGAAACCAACCTCACTTCTACTTGGTAGAAAGTCAGTGCCCTGTGTCAATAGGATGAGTGGTATGGCTGAGTCCAAGCTTCCTAAGCCAGGGATTTTAGGGGGTATATAGTGTATGTTTGGGTACAGAGCCCCTTTATAAAGATTCTGGTGGAATGGCTTGTCAGAGGCATGGGGAAGACATGATGGACAACTGTACCAGATACAAGACCACATTAAACCTTAGCTGGCCTAGTGGGAAGGTGGAGTTTGGAATCCACACCAGTCTTACCTGCTGTCAGGTCGACTGGTCGCACTTGGAAAATGCCTACACTATGATCCTGGAAATCTCTAGGACGCAGAGGACTGTTTTGAGCAGTGGTTTCACTTATGTCTTTTTTTTTTCTTCCGATTTGTAGCTTTTACAACACTCTGCCCTTTTTCTTGTCCAACCTCATTTGATTTCTGTTGTCAGTGTGTCTGTTGGTTTTTCTTTGGTGTGTGTATGTGTGTGTTTGGTTATTTCGAGTTTTGTTTTTCTTTTTGCTGGATCTTTGTGTTCTTGAGTTTTCAGTCCTTCCCACCATCAGCCATGGTAAATCAAAAGATGGTATTCAACCCTTCAAAGGCCCAAAGCCTGCGGCCCGCATAGCAAACAGCCTTGAGAACAGAGCGTACTGAGCAGCCTGCAGGGGCTGGCATACCCCCGTCCCTCCCGCCTTCCCCACCCTTGCACCGTCCTCCCCACCTCCCACAAACCAACCAGACAGTGTGTATAACCTAAAACCAACAACCAGTAGCTGATCGTTTAGTTCCCTCAAAAAGAGCAGGAGAAATTTAAAAATTTAATAAAAACAAATAAACAACAAAATGAATATAACATCCTAAATAGTTCACAGACAAAGATGAAGACAATTTTTAACTCTACGTCTATTTCAGAGTAAGAGAGAAGCACATAGATAAGCATGATTAGCCCCATGGGGTCCCGGGGAAATGTATACTGTCGCTAAACAGAAAATAGATTTTCCTTCTTAGACGTTGTTTTATAAAATGAGAAAGCCGATGGTGGTAGGTCTCATATCTCAGAAGGAGATACAAGTGGGGGAAGATAAAAAGGGATGAGGAAGGAGATGGACAGATTCTCTCTCTTACACACACACATACACACACACACACGCACATACACACATACACACACATGTGGTTAGTAAGAATTCCCATGTGTATTCCTAGAAACATTTTTTTCTATTTGCCCCAAATCTGGGAGAAGTACCTCTCAAAAAGACTACATTTGCCTCTTCATTCCTTCTAGCATATACTCAGTCTAGCTCCTCCAAAGCTGAGATATCTTGGGCACGATGCAGTTGGAGAGCCCTGCACTTTTCAGAAGCAATAGTGACTTCTTTTTTTCCCTGAAGAGTATGGTTCACTAGAATGACTGGTTTGAATTTATTTAAATTACTTTCAATCCTAACCTGGAAAACTGAACTGAAATTCCCTGTGCTTATGTATACAAAACTCTTTACGTTCATGCTTTGTTTAAAGGTTCTCTTTCCCTTCCCTCACCAAAATATACCCCTGTGTGAATGTTTTCTCCCAATATGAGTTCGTATTTCCCTTTCCTTCGTTAGAGAAGAAAACATCTCTAAGGAGGGTTTGCATGCACACTTAGGCCAAAAGAACTAATTTCAGGTGATCATTTTGTTCACCATTTCAATTATGTCTCCTTTCCAGCCTATGCACAAATGATAATACAGTTTATTTCAAATTGGTCATGCATATACGCTCATGATGTAAAGCCTAGTATGTATTTCTCTGATGTAATGTATCCATCTCCTAAATGTCCAGAAGACTAGGCTTTCCCAAGGGCCTTGCTCTCTGAAGACAACCAGGTGTGGTAAGAGCTGGTGTCAGAAAGGTCCTACAACACACAGCCCGTTTTTGAAATCTTTTGATCCCTTACGATTAAAAATACAATAATAACATTTTATGATTATAATAAATTGAAAGATTTAAAAATCTTATTTCAGTTGGCCAGTAATCTTGGAAGATAAGCCAGGGAAGTGTTTTTATGCTTTTTTTTACAGATGTGAGACAAAGAAAGAAATGTAGGACTTTTCAAAGCTAACATAAAAAGTTCATGGTGGAGCTGAGACTAGAACCTGGGTTTCTAAAATGCTAAATCAACATGGGTTATCTGCTATCTCCACGGGTCAATCCTGTGTGGCTCAATGATGTGGCAGTCTTAATGACTTCTAACTGCTTTCATGATGGTTACTTTTTAAACATGCCCAGAGGGAGTCTTTTTTCCGTAGTGCCTAGTTTGAATTAAGCCATACAGCTGAAAAGTCGGTCAGCATCGGCATCTGCTCATGGCCCTTTGGAATCCTCAGCAGAACGCCAGCAAGCCTTCTTCAATGGGGGAGGCCCGTAGGGAGTATCATGCAGTTTGGTCGGTGGCATTCAAATTCTCCAGATGCTCTGTCTCTGGCAATGCAGGCTTGCTGACGACTGTTTACAGTGTGCATTGTTGAACACATACCAGTCCTAGAAACTTCTACCTCTTCCATGCTCTCCACCCAAAGCTTACCCATCTAGAAAATAATAATCTCTCATTTACAAAAATAAAACAAAAAAACATCTAAATGAAACAGGATGAAAAACACAGACATATACAGACAAGCAGACACCCCACGGGTATCTTGCCGAGGGTAAGGCAGAGATTCAACTTCTGTGGCTACTCAAGGTAGATCTAAAGGAAGTTGCTTTCCCAGCCCAATTCCCTGGATTCACTTTGCATGAAAGATACAACCTCATTAACAAGACTGCCATCTAAGAGCCTATGAGCAAGGCACTGGGATGGATTTTTTTTCCCTTGATCTACTTATTGTTCAGGTAAAGTGTCCAAATAATCTGTCACTTCTTGGCTTAATCAGTTGTCTACCCTCTGGAAAGCTCCAAGTCCTCACACTGGTTGAGAGACATCTTTCAATTCATGGAACCATTTGAGTGAATCCAGCACCTTTCTCTAGACTGGGTCCTCGTCTAAAAATAAAATCCTCAGGGCACCTGGATGGCTCAATCCATGAGGCATCTACCTTCTGCTCAGGTCATGATCTCAGGGTCCTGGAATCCAGCTCTGTGTTGGGCTCCCTGTTCGGTGGGAAGCATGCTTCTCCTTCTCCCTCCACTCCTCCCCCACCCTTGTGCTCTCTCTCAAACAAATAAATAAATAAAACCTTAAAAAAATAAAATAAAAACTAAAAGTAAAATCCTCAACAGCATAGAAACAAAAGAAGACAACCCTCTCTTGTTGAAGGTTCTCAGATTTGTTGCTTTAGGCCCACTCTTCCTCTTCCCTTCTCTCTTAAGCATGGCCATACACCTGTTTCCCCTGTCTCCTGAATACATCAGGAAGGGGCATTTCTCCAGCTTTGGCTGATGGCAGGTGCTGCTGGTAGCGGAAGCCCCACCCCTTCCTCCCTTACTTGCCCTCCCCTGTTCCCAGTCCTCACTGGGGGCATGGCCTCCTCTGTTTGGTGATCGTACCAGTTGCTCCAGGGCTGTTTGCTCCCACTTTTCTGTTGCGGTTGACGACACATGACAAACCTAACCGCACGAAACCAAACCCAGATTTTTTTCAAGAGATGTTCTTCTGGGGAACAAATAAGTGTCCCGCCTCCTTCCTCAGAATGATTGGGTGTTCTAGATTTCTCCTGTCTGGATTTCCATAATTTTATTCTGCCCTGTCCTTTGCCACTGGTTCCTCTTTCACTTGCTTCCTTAAAATGTTTTACTTTGGGAAATTCAAATGGTGGCCTTATCCTTGACAAGTCCTCCAAAACTACTGGGTTAGCCTTAGGCAGAAGAGCTCAGTTTCTAACTGTAATTTTTTTCCTGTAACTTTTTTTTTCCTTTTCTTGTCTTATTTCTACTTTTTAGTATCCAGCTTTAAACAAGTTCTTATTGAATTCCCACCATGATAAATCAAATTTAGTTTTAACTGGGCAAATTTGTAACAACTAATCTGAGATCTTTTTTAACCATTCTACCCAATCCCCTGCAAATAATCATTGACTCTACTCTAGACCTTTTGTGCTGAGTGTTCATGACTTTAAACAGATGTTAATAAAAGGATAGGTACTCAGATCTCTGACATAGGATAACCTGTGGGGTTATCAGAACTAGAAAATTAGCCACCCTTTCTTGCCTCCCTTTCCCATTAAAAAATAAAAAAATTAAAAAAAAAGAATCTTCTTCCCTCAAGATGCAGAATTATAGAGTGAGATAGGTAGGATGTCAAAGGTGCCCAAGACCTCCTCCCCATAAACTTGTCTCGCCTTCTCCTTGAATGCTGTAGGCACTTGATTTAGTCTGAGCATTCAGGCAGGAAGACGAAGATGGGCTTCATGAGTGGGTTGGTCTGGGAGCCTTTGAAACAATAGCAGAGAACCCAGTCCATCGTGATAACATCATACAACTCCTTTGAACCACCACCCAACTCCACCTCTCTAAAATCTGGGACGGGTGTTTGTGCGGTTAGCTGTTTGCAAGTGGCCATTTTATGACAGGAAATGACCAGGTGGTATTAACCCTTTCCTTATCTCTAGGGATAATGGCAAGTCTGCCTACGTAAATTTCTATGGCATCTGGGGCCTGAGCAAAGAAGAGGGTGGAGGGAGTTTGTTTTCAGAAAAAGAGAAAGGGTTAAATACTGCACTGAGAAACTTCATGGACAGATTTTTTTGAAAAAATAAACAGTGTGTCAGATTGGTGATATATCTTTGGAATACTAATACAAAAACTGTGTTGATGCTACTTTTAAAGACAAATTTGGAGAAAATCATTATAGGGGGACATAGACTATAACCTGCATTTGGTGGGGAAATTTTTGCATAATTTTCCAAGTCAAACAAAAGTAATATTTCAAAGTTCAGGTGTGAAATCCTTTATATAAATGAGTAGGTTTTTTGAAAAAAAAAAAAAAAAAAAAAAAAAAAGGAGTGGCATACTTGGTGTCTATTGTGGATATATATGTATACCAGTATATATCTCTATACATATGTGTATATATATATGTGTGTGTGTGTATATATATATGTATCCAACTTTACTAAATGATATACTGTACATATACACCCACCCTTAAACTTGTACATACCGTATATATATATAAAATGGCCACACTTCTTGCGTGTGTCTGTCCCCGGAAGGGTGGACTGATTGTTTTTGGATGTCTGCAGCTGTTACCTTGAAGGATGCAATTTCATCTTTCATTTATTTTTCCCCATCTAGACTGTATCAGGATAAACTGTAACTCCAGTAAGTTTTCCCTCAAGTTTCATTTTGTTCTTAAAGAAAAGAAAAACTGACTTTATTTTGTTTACTGTTTTATGAGCTGTTTTTTGTTTGAATTATTTTGTGTTCTGACTATGGAGTTGGGGGGAACGGGGGTTGACAAGATGAAGGGCTGGGGTGAGGGTCATGGGCTGATTGTCGCGCAGGGTGTGGTTTCTGAATTGGGGTAGGTCCTCTCTTCTTTCCTTGCATTTGCTCTTTATGCAGAAAAGGAGGAAAGGGCACCTGGATAAGGAAAGAACTTGAAAATGAATTGAAATGGTAATTTGTTGTTTTGGGGAAATAATCCTCAGGGGTGGACAGAAAGCATTAGAACAACCAGAATGCACTTCTCCACTACTGACAGCTTCAGAAAATAAAAGCAAAGTTCATGACCCAGAAGGTGGCTGCCAACTCTGACATTTGTTTCCCAGCATTTACCGCTGTAGGTTTTTTTTGTTTTTTGTTTTTTGGTTTTTTACCCCCCTCAGAGGGTGGGCACAAAGCATTGTTTTTGGTGATAATGCAACATTTTAACCAAAGTCTTGAGAAACATTCTGGCTCTTCTGAATGAAAAATTGCAGCCTATTATTTTTACTTTATCCCATTCAAACATTCTGGTTCTTGAAGAAGGATGTTCAGGAAGTGCAGGCTGAATTGTACTCACGTGTTTCTTTCTCTGCCTCAGAAATGAACATTAACTGGAGTATGAGATCAGGGAACCGGAAGAGAAAGAGGAAGGATGGGGAGGAGGGAAAGAATAGGTCTAGTTGATAAAAGGAAGAAATATACTTTGAGCCTTATGACATCTGATATCCGTTAAGATAATTAAATAACTAACTAGGGTAATTAGGGTAATTAGCTGTAACAAACAATCCCAACATTTCAGTGGCTCAACGGAAGACAGGTTTACTTCTCCTTCAGGCAAAATTCAGTGCCAGTGCCAGATCTCTTCAAGTAATTCAGGCATCTAGGATTCTTTCATGACCTTGGTCTACCATCTTGGAGTTCTTCACTTCCAGCCATATCCACAAGGAAGAGAGAGAGTGAGCTTGGATATAATGCAGTGTGTTTTTAACTTGCCTGGAAGTGATGGCCCAGTACATCACTTCTGCCCATATTTTCTCAGACGTGACTCCATCCAAAACGCAAAGGAAGCTGGGGATATGTTCCTCCTCTGGATCCAGGAAGACAAATTTGGATTGGTTGAGCATCTAATGCACATGATTCTCAGTATTGCCCCCTCATTTTGTACTTCTTTTCTCATTAGGGCCTTTCAGTAGGAACAAATTCAGAAAAAGAAATAATCCAAGTTTTATATTTCATTTGTTTATTCCATTATATTTTATAGGTGCTACTAGTTTAATCTTCTTTCTTGGGAGATTGATTATCGGGATGATAAATTAATAAAGCCTAAATCCACTTTTCTGGGGGCGGGGGAACATTCTATGTAAATTAACAGAAGAAATGTAAAAAATCCATATAAACAACCACTTCCTGAAGTAGAATGCTTTATGCGCGTCTTGGCATCATTTTCAGTTAATTTAAGCAATGTCCTATTTTGCTGTGTTTAAACATTTCTAATTAGCCAGAAATTTCTCATGATATTTAGATCATTAAAAGACTAATTGAAACATCCTTTTTTTTCCCTAAAGACTGGCATTTTCTCTTTCTTCAAGCAGCTTTATTGAGATGTAATTTCCATACCACAGGTTCATCCGCTGTAAGCCTACAATTCAGTGATTTTTATTAAATTTATAGGGTTGTCCAAATACCCCCACAATCACATTTTTAGAACTTTTCAGTCACCCCATCCCCACTCCCAAATTTTCCTCATGTCCCTTTGCAGTTCATCCCTGCTCTTACCCTTAGCCCTAGACAAATGCCGGTTTACTTTTATCTCTATAAATCTTCCTTTTTCTGGATTTTTCATATAAATAGAATCATAGGATATGTAGTTATTTGTGTTTGGCTTCTTAAAAATTATAGTACATTTATGGAAAGCATGAAGGTAGAAAAATCTCATTCTAAGTTGAATCTAGCATCTTCTGGCTTAGACACTCATTTGCAGAATAGAGAACTGAAGGAGTTGTTCAGTCGGGGTATCTGGACTTGCTTTCTGTGCTCTGTCCACACTTTTATCTTTCTGTGCTCTATCCACACTTTATCTTGCAATTAATTTCACATATTCTCTCTGATCAGCCATGAAAAGTCATCATTAGACAAGTTCCAGAATTCTTTCTTCTAGGAAGGCAATGCCTCTTTTCCAGGACACAGATGCCAGCAGGTTTTCTAGATGTGATAAAAGATTTTCTATCCAGAACCACCAAAACCATCATTGAGAAGAAGTATGTCAGCAAAGATGTGTTCCCTGCTTTGATCACAGTATAGTAAGAGTGTAACTAGTTTTAGTTCAATATTTAGGTAAAGAGCCAAGATTGGATTTTGGAAATCAATTTTGAATTCTTAAGATAAACCTTTAACATACTGAGGAAGATAATTTTGGGGAGAACATCAGAGAAAGAATACATAGTGCCCACTAATTAAACAGTGATTGAATAGAAACCAAGGAAAACAAAACAAAGCAGGAGTCCTTTACTCTAACATCTTGAGTGCTGAGGTATATAGATGTGCACCCAGGGGAATGGAGAGTCACAAAATTAAAGTGACACATTTTCTTGAAGTCGATTTTAATTGTTGATTTGGAGTAAAAACTTGAATTGAGACCAAAGAGATATATTATGCAGAAGAATGCACGTCAGTGTGAATCTTATTTAGCTTATGAATCTTAGGTTTTAAGAAAAACTAAGAATTCAAAGACATGTCATTTTTATCATGTATCTTCTTTTTTCCATCCCTGGCATTACTGGTGCTTGGGTGGAAAATTTCAAGAAGGCTAGGCAACTAAAACAGATCCAGGTAATCAGAATTTCCCAGATCTCTCTCCTTGCGGACTAGATGTCCAAGTCCATAGTTCAGTCTGTTCTGGTATCTCAAGCTGTTTCTCTAATAGGTGAGCAGATCCTTCTTCTTACTCAATTTTTGTGATGAGATTGAGTTGTAGCCTGAGTTTGAAAGGGAGGGATTTTCCTCTTACATCTCAGGTGTCATTTTAATAGAAGTCAGAGGATGTTATTACTCACATTTCAGAACAGAGCTGCTTTTTTTCCCTTGAAGGGACATATTGAATTAAGCTTTAACCACATTTGAATTTAAGTTCATGTACTTTTCTGGTAATCCTTTTTTAGAACACCTGTCTTCTGGAAAGTCAGGTAAAATACAGAATGACATCATCTATGTTTTTCCTCTTTGTCTGCTGCAAAATGTTTGGGGAAATGGCTGTTTTTAAGGGTTTGTGTGACTCCTTGGAGAAAAGAACATGAAAAAGAAGGGTGGCCTTCTGGTGTAAGGAGAAGACAACTGATCATAGTAGAGGACAGTGATCTTGAGATGGAAGTCTCTCTCTTTTGGCCTTTGTTGTCTGGTCCTTCTGTCGGTGACTCTGACCCAGCTCTGTGCTAAGTGTTTCCAAGAAGAGAGGAACAGGTTTTGTTTTGTTTTGTTTTGTTTTGAATCAGCTTCTTTGCCTTCCTTCCTCTCTTTCTCTTTTCCAATGCTTTGTTTTTCCCCATAAGATCTATGATATACTTACCATTACTCATTCTAAATCCTGCTACCCCTGCTTTCCAAATCTTCCAAGAATACTACGCATAAATACTTCTCTGGCTTCTATTCCCAGATATATATTAGAGAGTGTACAAATCGAGGCCTTAGGTCAAAATAGGGATGTTGCTGGATTTGATTCAATTGGCAGGAATATTCAAAAACATATAACCGGGAAATTTCCAGCTTAGAATTTACTTTTAAATTGCAAAACGTCAACAGAGTTGGCAGTCATCATGGTGACTGAACTACAGGGTGGCCTGATATCCATTCTGTATCACTGCTAAAGAAAACAGGGCTACTTTCTGGGGAATTTTGGAGAAAATCACCTGTTCCTATGGTTCCAGTTCTATGAGGCTGGCGGCACCCTAAGAAGTGTGCGGTTCTGTAAACAGGTATGGACTTCTTATTGGTCTCGTGGACGTTTGCTCAAATCAAAGTATGGAAGAAGGTTTGTTGTTTTCCACCTAGTTTCATTTTGACTCTGCCCTTCAATTTCCTAGCCCCTACTTTATTCTCTCCCTTTCAGGCTGTGTGCAGCATAGTTTGCATGAATATAGTATAGTCATACTAATAACATGTGCAGATGATATGAATGAATATAATGAAATACATAAAAATAAATATCAATTTCATCCTTTTGTTTTTTTAGCTTTTCCCTTCTCTGAAAGGCTAATTCTTCTGTGTAGGGTTATTTTTTCAATCTTTTTAAAAAGAGGTGTGTATATCATAAGGAAATTGTGAGTTTGTGTACATGCCTAATTATTTAAGCAGATGTAGAGTCCCCCCCCCCCAATTACTTTGAACTTGAAGTCTCAACTTTATCTGTAACAAGTTTCATTTTTCTTTCCCTCTTAACTATAAAGGAGAAAAGAAATAGGGTGGCATACAAAAATATACTGACCCTGTAGTCCCTTGAGTGAGAGAACGGCTTTGGTAATCCTGTCCACTTCCGTTGACTGTTATCTTTGAATATCATAGACACATACAATTATATAAGAGCTATATGAAAATAGCATCATAAGGATATGATACCTCCAAGTCCTACCTCTAAAGGCTACTAGTATTTACTAAATATTCCTTCCCTTGCACCTGCTAGCCTAGCACTTGCTTTTTGCCTTTTGTGTTAGCTTCTGTGCCTTAGTCTGTTTAAGCAGACTCAGTTTCCACTGTCTTGGCCAAGTCAGCAGTGTGTGGGTGTTTCTTGCTTAATTTAGGCATAGCTTGGTGAAATGCAGCTTACTGCACTAGACTTTTGGGGGGTTTTGCTTCCTTTTTTCCTTTCTTCCCTCTCTATGGTACTGGGACTATGCTATTTCATT